CCCCCCTGGTTACGGCCCTGCCACACACGAGAATAAAACTAAGAAACAACTCAGTGAACTAAAGTTCCAAGAAAAAGTTCTTTATTCGTAGATAATGCATAAACAACACTCACAATGAAAATCTTTTTGTCTTTAATCGACAATGAAGACCAACAATGTAACTGCAATACCTTCTGTAGCTTTGTACAAAGACAAGAAACAAAAATGTACAATATTTACATCAAATTTAATATTCTAAAAGAGAACTGTATAAAACATATTTAATAAAATGCTTTTTTCTTGGTTGTGATCGTTAAACTGTACAAAATGAAAGAAAGACAATTAGTTACATTAATATTTAATAGAACTCACGTCTCGGTAAATATTCCCCGAGATTAACTTCGCCTTCGGCAAATAATTGCTTTAGTATTTTTAACACAAGTGAATTTAATAAATAATGGAGAAAGAGGGTTTTTTTTGGTTAAAGTTCTATTTATCTCTGCAAGCAGCACAAGTCAACAAACGAGTGTGCGTATGCGCGCATTATAATATAGCAGCATAAGACGTACATTGGACCAATGAGCGAGCCGGATTTATTAAAGATGCCAAATAGTAATAGAAAGCAAAGAGTATAGTATATATCTCATTTACCTTGTACTTGTTGTCTAGTGATCCATACTGTGCCATTAATACGTTTTTTATCGGTCTGTTTGTTTTTCAGTTCGTCTTGCAGCTTTCCCCATCTTTCCTGCATACGTAATTGCCTTGTTCCCTGACTTGATATTCTATCATATTTGAAAAAATCACATTTAACGTTTCATGTAGAGGGGGGAAATGTTATTAGGTTGATGATGAATATGACTATGATTATGACTATGATGATGATAAATCACGATTGATGGGGGTGGTGGTGGCGACGATCATGGTGCAGTTGATGGTGAAAATGAGGGTGATGATAGTGATGATGCCGATGACCATGATGGTGATGGTGGTGATAATGGTAATGATGATAATGATGGTGATGTTGAAAGTGATGAAGGTGATGATGATGATGTTGGTCAGGACAGTGATACATGTCAGATGATGGGGAAGATGCTGGTGATAATGATGGTTAAGGATATAGTTAGTGAATATTCACCTATCCTGTATAAGTGAGTTCATCTTGGTATGTACTGTATTATCTATACCATACGGTTCATTGGTTATAGGCATTCTCCAGTAACGATCAATTGAAGGGAAAGAACGCAGAGGAAATGTAAACAATGTCGATGTCTGAAAGCGATAGAAATATATAATATTATTTTAAATTGTTAAGAAACTTACTTTGAAGTTTGCTATTATGGTTTTATATGGACAGGGAGGTGAAAGAGAAGAGAGATAAAAAAGCTCAATGGAGGGGTCATAAAATGCTGTCTATACTGCATTAGTAGCTGACAGAGCAGGTCATCAGCTGATATCTGTGTTACTCAGCAGAACAGAAATGATATAAAGTAAACATACATAAGATTTTTCTCCTTCTTCGTCTTCTTCTTCTGAATCTTCATCAGCACAAAGACCTGGATTGTAAATAGAATAATTCCCATGCATTACACATCGTTAGACAATGGTTTCTTGAAGCACACTGATATACATACAATTCATGAGTCAGTCATTTATTAAGAGTAGCTTCATTCAAAACAGTTATTTTATTTCACCTTTGATGACCATCACTTGGCCATCAGCAGCTATACAGGGGGTTGAGAGAGAATCTATCTTGTATGGTTGTGGCAGAGCAATGTGGCACATTGCTGTGTATGAGATGGTGTCAAATAATGTAATACGTCCACTCTCTCTACACACTGCAATCTAAAGATACAAGAACAACCATTAGACTGAATTTGTCTACCCACATAAAATAAAGTTTGTATGTATGGTAAATACAGTAGCTTGTAACAATATAATGTGGAATCAATGAGCTTACCACTTGTGGTGTTTTGGACAAACAACAGCCTGATATCAAGGCATCTGATTCTACTGCAGACCTGTGTCAACAACCAAGCAATCAATAATACTGCACTGGCATATTGGCATAAAGCATTCTCGCAACATTATTTTTCAAAACAATTTTTAAGATGATCATTGCTATGAAGTATTTTTGGTATACTGCAGGGGTGGATCTAGGGAAGGGTTGCAGAGGTGAAGGGGGAGCTTGATCCCCTCCAGATGAGCTGTACTGCATTATCGGCGTTTGAGTACCCCCTCCTAAAATGAAAATCCTGGATGTTGCAACCCCCTAGAAAAAATCCTGGACCTGCCCTTGTACTGCATAAGTCAATCAAAGTGTTTCCATGATAATATAAGACAAGTTTTCAAGGGAATGTATAAGGCATGTCATGGAATTGCCTTGATTGACATCCGCCATAACCTTGTTGTTTGACACAGCAAACTACATGAGTTCACAGTCAGGAGTTTTGACTTGCAAAATAGTTCATTAGAAAAATTTGATTTAATAATATAATCTGCTTACTCACTTATCAACCATTATTCTAACGGGTGGGCGGCATGCTACACCACACTGGACAATCCTAAAGCTGCCATCTCTACATGCGACAGCTAGATTTGCAATAGGTACTGGTGATGATAGATATGATGGTTGGTCTTCTGAGTAAGGCTGTGTCATACTGCTTGGTAAGAAGTGCATGAAGGTGATAGTAGAATGATTGGTTACTGGACACACTCTTAGCAAGAGACCTGGTGATAAATGAATGAACAGCAAATGAAATAATGAAATGTAAGATGAAAGGGAAGGAATTTTCATTCATTCGTTCGTTCATTCATTTATGAACTTTGCCTTATGGGCAGGGAAACCCCACACAAGGAAATATGTGGCTTTCACGTAACTCATCTAACAAGAAAAGATAATTCAGTATTCCATTTAACAAACATGGTGGTGATGAAATGTGACAACAAATTAACTTCCGACAGTACTAACCATTATGTACATCCCATATAACAACCACACCATTCTTCAGCCCTAGAGCCAATACAGACATACAACTACTAACGGCACTGGTGCAGATCTCTTGGGCATTAGGCCACACAACTTCAGGCTTTAGCTCAATATCTAGAATGATTTTGAAAGAAAACATATTATATTGAAGTCATTTTCCAAAAGGAAAGGTTATAAAAAAGAACAGATGTTTACTGTGGTTTTGAAATTCTGCAGACTCCAAGATTTCAATAGCTTATTGCAAAATCGTTTTTTTTTTACTGCCGCCAGTCAAGAATATCAATGGTATTGACTTATCATGTTTTTGATTGACAGCAGAGAAAAACGAAATATCAGTGTGCAGCTTGCAACTACCGAGTTTCCAGAATATGGAAAACAGCAGTAAAGGAAATGGTTCCCCTGGATTAATGTACCTTTTGCTGTCTTGACGAGTGAGTAAATAAATAGGTGTGTCCCCCCTGTCCACCAGACAGCTATGGAGTTAACCTTGTCTGTTAGAAAGTGAGAAAAAGATATAATATTGTGATTTAGTATTACAGACATTAATGAATAAATAGTGAAGTAGATAACATAAACCATCAATAATCAGAGTCAATCAACGCTCACTTGGTGCAGTATCTAAACCAGTTGGAACAAACTTTCCTGGTTTTAAGAAATGAAATGAAGGTTGGCTGAAAGGGAATAAAAAATCAATAGTAATCATGAACAGCCATCTACCCCTATCATGAACAGCCATCTACCCCTATCACGAACAGCCATCTACCCCTATCACGAACAGCCATCTACCCCTATCATGAACAGCCATCTACCCCTATCATGAACAGCCATCTACCCCTATCATGAATTAATTATATCATATGCTTCCCTGCCAGCAGTCTCCCTTGTTGACAAGAATCGTCAACAAGGGAGACTCTGCTAGCAGGGAAATTGTAAGCCGAACTCATAACAGGGGGTATCACAGAACTGTAGGACTGACACCTAGCATGTTAAACTGGCCACATCGATTGACCCATTCAACTTAATGGAAAGTGCCTTAAATATAACAATATTTCTTTGCTTCTTGTCTGGCCATCTGCCAACGGTCAAACACTTTAGTACTTTTGAGACTTTTTTTTAATTTGGAAAATCCGTAATGGTGAGGGATTGGACTGGACTGGATCTTGGATTGTAAAAAAAATCAAAATTTTTTTGGCTAATTTTCAGCTTTTGAATGGGTATGGATAATCTTAATGTAAAGGAAAAACATGCCCAACTGCTAAAAATTGGTTTGCGCTTCTAAATTCCGAATTATAAGAGTTTTTTTAATTTGGAAAATCAGGAACCGTGCATGGCTGGACTGGACTGGACTTTGGTTAAGTGGATCGTCGGATCGCAAAGTGTTTTTTACGACAAATTTGCAGGTTTTATCCTACAGCATTTATTTAAATATTAAAAAATAGTAATTTTATGCTAAAATTTTACAAAATATCAAGATTAATTTTTTCTCATAATTTGAAAAAACATTCTGCTACATTTTTGATCACAAAAACAATCGTTTCTTGCCTGGCCATCTAATAACAGTCAAACGCTTCAGTACTTTTGAGACTTTTATGTGTTACCAAGGYCTATTGAGTGTGGTGAAGACAAAATATTAGGCTGTGTGGTAATTGGTTGAAATTTTATTCCTATTGTTTTGAATTCTTGAATTTTGATTGGCTGCAAAAAACTAATTGGATAATTTATTACAGTACGAAATCTATCCAAATTAATTATGAATGAAAATAAAAGCTTAGGATAAAAATGAAAATAATACCATAGGTGCTTGTGTGGGATCATAGATTATGAAATAGTAAGTGAGAAAAATATTGGAACTTAAAATAAATTCAAATCAATCTATACCTAACTTCAGGTTCCTGTTGATCATCTTGGAAGTACTGCATTTTCTGTTTATGTAAACTCCTAAAAGTCATTTCAGAATGTTGAAAATACTCTGATGTCAAAACATGATTGACTCCAGTACCAATGACATTATTATCAGGGTCGATAGACTTTAGAGCTGCCGTGTAGTTAGTTGCAGCACAAGGACCCACTGCTGGTGGGGAACGAACTCTGAGAATGAGATTCAGCTTACTGAATGAGGACTGGGATGGCACACCTTGGGCAGAACCAGGACGAGAAGCTGGAGGAGACTAAAGAAAAGAATCATTATGAAGGGCTGGACATAGAAAATTAGTGGGGGGCGGATACGAGCTTACTGAACTAGGGCAGGGAGGTGCACTTAGCAGAATCAGGATGACTGGAAGCTGCTGGGGGCATTAAAGAAAATAATCATTATGAAGGCTTGACATAGATAAGCAGTAGGGTAAGGGTGTGGTTGAGAGGTGGCAGTCTTTTAACGATACTAACGTCATTATGTAGTTATCAGCACTTACAGAAGATGACTTAAGTGATGCATTTTCTTGTCCCTCACTGGTCTTGTGCTGTTCAGCAAGACTACTGTCATGATGTCCCATATCTTCTGTCATCTTCCTGGACTTAGGAACCTGAAGCACAGGCTCTACCTCTTTAATCCAGGAATCCTTTGGTATTCGATAAACTTCAAACCAGTTCTCTGTATTTTTAACCTCCCAACTAATACCAACATAGTTACCATCGTTAGATAACTGCACAAGGGTTGTCATTGCTTGTTTATTTGTCTCATCTGTGAACACTTTAGTAAGATTTAATTGATCTCCAAAGAAACAAAACAGCTTTGCTACCCCATTGTTATCAAGGGTACAGAGGACATAGAATCCTTCACACAGAAGAGAAGCACACATCTGTTTGACATTTTTTGCACTAGGATCTTCACTTGTAGCCACACATTGTCCTATCAACGCCTCTACCACAGAAAACCCGCTACTATGAGCTACAAACAGATACTTGCCGCCCTCATCACTACACATACAAGATGGCTCTTTCAGATCAAACAGGGGTCTGCCACAGTCATAACTAGGGAGGCATTCTTTTGACAGCTTCAAGGCCTTTTTATCCTCGATTCCTTCAATGATATTCCATGCTCTATCGAATATATAATTGACTGTTTTATCTACAAGTCGAAAGGGTTGAGGAAGGACATCAAAGATTTGTTCAGGATCAATCAGGAATTCTTCATCCGCTTCTTCCTCGTCTGAAGGTGGTGTAACTGGCCTTTTTTGCTTCTTCAATCCCATGTTAAGTATTTTAGCTATCTATATTTAAAATATGGCTGTTAAATAAGTCCTAAAAAGATAGGAATATTAGGCATTTTTTAGCAAAGAAGCTTTGTTTGTCCGCCATCTTTGCTTGACAACCGTCTCCAGTCTACCTGACCACAGCAAGCCCGCGCCTTCCTTCCCTTCAAGTCATTTGAGTCACGTATCTCATATAGTAACGTGGCAATCGAATTGCCTTCGTTTTGTTATTGTTTTGATCTTGACTGATCACCCACCATGGATGTTGTAACAGCTATAGTCAAGTATAATCAACAAACACTTGGTAGAGACAAGTTGTGCAGGTAAGAAAAGGATTTTTGCCGTTCATTTTGCACTAAAGGACCAGGTTTTGACTCCAAGTATTCTACTCGACTTTAGCTTGGTACTTTGTTAATATTGTCCTCGATCTTTGTTGCTTCAATTTACAGTACTTGTAAATAAACAACAATAGTCCTTTGGATTGAAATATAATGCTTTAGGATGTAGCCAGTTTGTATATAAAAAAAATCGTTGTATCTTTTAAACAACACAAGATTCATGATCGATGCAGTAAGATTATTGGACTTTGACCTCCAGTTGTCCACTTACACAGATATAATTGAAAGAGTTACGGACTAGCTAGCTCAAAGTAAAGAAATTTCTTATTCATTATTAATATATAGTTTCAGCTATGAATAGTGTAATCTTTTAATTGTTGGTTGTACTTAGGACAATTCAGTATGGGTCAAGGCTATCTGGGTATCTCTTGGAGAAAGCTGGGGCAAGTAAAGACCTCATTCAAAATGCTAAGAACTTGGACAAACATGCGAGCACTTCTAGGAAAAGTAAGTTAACTCTGCAGGCCTGTGTCCTAGGATGGTTTGAAGGTGTGAATAAACCCTCATCCCAGATCTTTTCCTAAATTCAACTTTAATCAGCCATGAAATGTAAATCCCCCCTTTTCTGAAGACCTGGCGACAGCCTGGATTATAATCTTTGGTTAATGAGTATGAAATAAATATTGCCAGGCTTTGTCTAACAATAGTCCCCTTCACAGTTCCCCGTGCCATCTTGAAAGGTAGCTGTGCCTTTGCATCAAAATGAGACGAATGGTGAGCATGCAATGATAGAGACCTATTCTTAACACCTTGGACAATTATTCACGTCTCTATCATTGCATGTTCACCGTTCGTCTTGCTTCAATGCAAAGGCACGGCTACCTTTTAAGATGGTGCAGGGAATTGTGAAGGGGACTATTGTGATCATTGGACTTCAATATGACGACAATGTTGCAGTAAATGTTAAATTGATGGCCTTCATCGCATTGCTTCTATCTGTCTTTTAATTTGTCTTTAATTGTTCAGTTTTCAGGCTCGGCAAGAGCTTGGACATGTACATAGGATTTGTAAAAGCCAGTTCTATATCCCATGATAATGTCCTGCGTGTTCTCATTATGTGTCGACGCATGACATACGTCGTATATTACCTGATTGATCACATGACATGGGCAGCAAGAGTAGGCTTGATTAAGTCTGACCCCAAGTCATGGTCCAAGTTCCAAGCCAAGTTTTGGATAATTGCCTTAGTATTTAGTCTTCTAAGAAACATTTACGACCTGATGAACTTGCTATTTGCACCAAAGGAGAAAGTTGATGGAGAAAAAGCGATTCAGAAGTCTCCAGCCCAGAAAGTGATGCAACGACCTGACATGGTTCTTGATTTGGTCAAGAACTCTGCCGACTTTCTACTCCCATTCAATGTGCTTGGTATCGTTCAGCTAAATACTGGCACATCAGGCTTGCTTGGACTTATTTCATCTATTGCAGGGTCCTTACCCATATGGTATCCTGACCTTAAACTCAAACCTTCATAATACTCTGAATTATGAAAGGTGAACTTTCTTTTTCACTCCTGATTTGATTGTTCCTGGGTTTTTCCATTTTGTCTTTGTTTACAAAACAGAGATAGTAAGTATAACCAAATACAGATGAGCTGAAGGTCTGATCTCAAGCCCAAGCATTGGCAAAATCAAATAAGTTGTCAGTGAATGCAACATAATCAGCTATTATAATTTTCATTTATTTTGTTTCATTTCTCTGATTGTATCAAGAAAACCATTCCTCGACTGTTTGACCAAACATTATACAATAGTTACCATTAGGTATTCTTTACTTAACAGTATCTTAAAAGATTGAGCTATTAAATGTGTAGCTTCATATTGTAAGCTTAATTAAGCAGTAAGGATTCCTATAAAGGAACAGGAACAAAGATTCCCCTGGCTGATTATAATCATACATTGTAGGTATCATAATATTAACTGGTAGGAGTATGTTTCAAAATAAAGATTTCTAACTTTCTGCAAACTTGATTAAAACTAAAATAACAGTTCATTTAGTTTCCTTTTATAGATTTTAAGTTTATATTTGGGGATTATGACATTGTTTCTTATGACTTTATTTTATTTTTCTTCCATTGTTCTTCATTTTTCTCATCTATCAAGCACACTTTTTGCCACTTTAAGTGTAGAAAGTCTTCTTGTATTTCTCAAACAACTGTATTTGGGTCTGTTGTCTTCATGGTTTAATGTTTTGTACCATATTTCACTCGTAATTTTTGCTGATGGCATCCCTTAGTAATCCACAGGTAGCCAATGAATGAACTAAGTGATCTTAGTATTTACAATGGTATCTCTTAATGAGATCTGCCGCCACTTGAGTGTGCCATCACCCCCACAGGAGTAAATCTGACCAGGGCAGGGTACTCGGATCAATGCCACGCCCTGTGTTCCATACTTGAAGTAGGTACTTTTGCCGTGCTCTTTGGGATAACATGCTAGCTCGTCATGGATTGTTAGACCCCAAACCTGACAAATTTAATTCAACCAAAATAAATATCAATTCCACAATATTTATTTTGTCACAAATAATAAAGTTGTCTGAAAGTTGTCTGTCTGTCTGTCTGTCTGTCCAGCTGTACGAATTGAACCAAGCCCACTCAGTCACTTATAGTTTCCTACCTTTATGTCTCCATCTTCAGATCCAGATATAAAGAATTCTTTACTCTCATCGACAACAATACTCTTCACGGGTGCATCATGGGCCAGAAATGTATGTCGGATCTGGCGTTTACGAAGGTCGAAAATACCTGCATGCTAATTAAGGAAATAACTATGCAAATAAAATATGAGTGCATAGGAATGAAAGATTAAACGAAGTAAGAGAATGAGATGTATTTGAAAAGTATCTATTCAGGTTTTAATATATTGGTTCTCAGTAGCCTAGTGTGCAGATGTTATAAGGGTTGTTACACAACGTTTCTATCCCCATAAAATGATGTGTCCCCCCTAAGAACGTCTGTCTGTGTAGGATGTTGGGCTCTTAGAGAAAGCCACTTACACTGAATCAAAACATGCTGACCCATTTGAATAACTAGCCTCTCATACATGCAAAAACGCTTTTATTTCCACATGAACACGAGGCTAGTCAGTCACTAGTCAGTGCAGAACAATAGTTATTCAAATTGATCGCTATATTTTGTTTCGGAGTATACCTGGATGAGCAATGCAATTAAAACCTACAAAATAAGATGACTTTCATAAAAGTGATGGAGGTCATGCCAAGATGCAAGGATACAAATATTGCCTTTCCTTCCACCAGAGATAAGTAGTTGTTGTCCTTGTACATATGCAATACACGGTGATCCACTCTCATGGCAAGTGAACGCTGTAGACAAGCAGGAGATAGAAAACAGTCAGGGAATCGTGTGTAAAGCATGACATGTTATTTCTTCAACTATAGAGTGGCTTGAAAAGAGATTTCATTTCCCAAAGAAGAAAATGTCTAATTATATTGTTTGCTCTACAACATGGCTGCCTGAAACCACTATGACTTAATACCTTTTTTAAAGACTTATATTTCTTTCTTTAAAAAAAGCGCTAATTGTGGCGCTTACCTTGAACGAGAGAACTTTGTTGGGGAACCAAAGTATCCCACAATGCAACATTACTATAAAATAATCATTTAAAAGAGCATTAATAGAATGCAAAAGTTTTCATGTTTTAACCAATCACATACTTCTTAAGTGTAAATGGGATACAGAGAGCGACACTGAGATGTAAGAGAAAATTTTAGGATGATCCTTTGTGCCTATTTCTTTTTTTTTTTTGCCATCTTAAGCCCTGAAATTCTCCAATGTATGTTCGTTATGATTTGCAATGTTTTAATCTGTGAAGAAACCTACCTCCCATCAGACGAATGCCCTGCAGTTGCTATGAAACTAGACGAGCTCAGAAACACAAAGTCGTTTGTCTGTTTGTTGTGGCATTTCATTGTCTGATGAAAGAAATAAGATTTCCATCAAATGTTAAAATGACTGAAGGCCTACCAACAGGAATATTGCTGAAAGAGGCATGCAAATTGATTACAAAGTGCAACAATACTTTTCTTGAACTGAGTGACGCAGTTTTTCATTGCGCGTACGTGTCTTATGAAAAGATTCTCCCACGCACAACACAGCCATACACAGCTTTTACTGGACCGACTTTAGCAAAGTACTGGTTGAAGTCCTGTGAAGCCTGTCAGCGTCAAAGGTTTTTCAAAGGACTGTATACTGTGTGTGTGTCTATAGGTGACTCTTTGGATCCTTACAGATTTTTGCGACTAATTTTCCTCCATTAAGATGGTATTAAGATAAGTTGAATGTTATTTGGATGTGACTGGAATGGATTGTTTATGACTGAAATGAAGGAAGTGACTGGGCCTCAGTCAGTGACTGCACCTCGAATCACAAAAAAAAGTTTTGAATTTTCACCTTTTGAAAGACCATGGATAATCTTAATGTATAGCAAAACCATGCCCAACTTCTAAAACTTGTTTGCCTCTCCTTAAAGCTTGAATTTTAAGCGTTTTTTAATTTTGGAAAATCCGGAACCGTACATAGATGGAATGGACTGGACTTCGGTTGGCGGGATTGTACGGAACATAGGCGTTTTTTTTACGCTGAATTTCCAGCTTTTATTCTATGACTTGTATTTTATCATAAATAACTAGTGATTCTTTTTCGAAATTTTGAACAAAAAAATGAAATTATTATTTTCTGTTTTGGATTGTGGCACTGAATGAAGTCCTGTAAAGCCGGTCAGTGGCAAAGGTTTTTCAAAGGACTGTATACATCATGTGCCTATAGGTGACTCTGTGGATGGTTACAGATTTTTACGACTAATTTTCCTCCATTAAGATGCTATTAAGATAAATTGGATGTTAATTGGATGTGAATGGAATGGATTGGTTGTGGCTGGAATGGATTGCAAGTGACAGGGCTTCAGTGACTGGATCTTGAATCAGAAAAAAAAAACTTGTTCTTAAAAAAAACTTCTAAAACTCGTCTTCCTCTTCTAAATGACCGAATTTTTCCCACAGGCAACCCAGTAATAATTTATTTTATTGCTTAGAAATCTAGTATCCCAGGGTATCAAACCGCAGTCAGAGATAACATTGCCCAATCTAACAGCTAATCAGAATGCACGACGATTTTTCTGATACAGGACTGGAAAAAAATATAAAATAATATTACTCACCAAGAAAGGATTGGGTGATGTTCCTGTGGAACTGACCTGCCACATTATTATCTGTCCGCTAGCATCTGATATCCCAATCTGTGTAGTTAAGTAAAAATCATATTGAAAAAACTCTTACTGACCAAATTTAAATGAAGGTATTTAACATCAAAAGTCTTTTTGACGTGGAGCCCAGGGAGTCGACGGTGTGTACTCCCCCTCTCTATCAGTAAAATCTAACTCGCTAAATGTATCGTGACTTAGATCAGCCAAGAGGTTGCTTAAGTGTTCGATAAGGTTTATATAAGATAAGACTATTTAAAGTTTGTATCACCCCTAGGAACAACCCACTTTTGTCGTATTCTAGACATCATCAGCTTTCAAATGATATACATATGAGGTGTAGTAGTAATAAATTATGCGTTCGGTGTGTATATAATGAAGTAGAGAGAATAAGAGAAAAATATCAAATGCCCTTGGCAGGATTCGAACCCACATCTTCGGTATTCTAGTCCGATGTGTTAACCAAGGGCATTTGATATTTTTCTCTTATTCTCTCTACTTCATTATATACACACCGAACGCATAATTTATTAGTACTATACTATGTCTATTCTTTGCGTACATATTTATGGTGTTCAACTTATCTATAGGGAATACATATGAGGTAGATTGGATGATTCCTGTAGGAGATATTCCCGTCTAAAGGTGCGATTTAGATATTCTAAAATCTGTAAAAAATTACTGATTGCTTGGAATCAAATTCTGACAACGGAAATGGTTTATTGGGTGTTTGTAGATTACTCTAATTTTTTCTATCATTACAGGAGCGACATGCATGCACTAGGGAAGTGGAAACAAGTATGTGAGATTATTGGGATCGAACTCATCTTTAGTTTATTTGTAGAGCACTGAGTAAGCCACTCAGTAGTACAACTGAGTCACATACCTTGTTACCATAGGGACTGAAATGAACCCTTGTAACTCGCTGATATGAGCCCATGGTACGATGTGCCGTTATTTCCTGCGCATGACCAAATTCCCACATTCGTACACTTCCGTCTTGGGAACCACTTACATCTGTAGAAACCAAGCAAATTATTTAATCTGTTGATAACCTAATATTCTTTAATACCATCGATACATGTATGTGGCCTGCATTGCATTGCATGGCTGTCTGTGGTTGTTGGTTTCTGTTAGAGGGGAAGTAGGAAGAAAGAAAAACCTCTTCCTCCGCAACAGCCACAGACCGCCAAGTAACTTAGACTAGTGAGTACGTATACATAGGAGTATACGGTCACGTCACTTCACGGTACGATCACGATACAGTCACGGCACGGTCCGGTAACGATACGGTCATGGCACCGTCCGGTCAAGATACGGTCACGGCACGGTCCCGTCACGGTACGGAAGTAATGAGAAGTGCTATTATTTTGTACTTACAGTAAGGCAAGTGCGGATGGGAAGCCATTCGTTTGACGCCATGCGTTTGACGCTTGAGAAGCTGCAAACAAATTCCAAAAATCTTGATTTTTTGAAGAACGTTTTTGCAATACCAAACAAGAAAAACCATGAAAGAGAGTAGGAACAAAGAAAAGAAATTTACAACTGTCACGTGACTTACTTCCATGATCCTCTGCCTCGGCCCAGACCCCACATTACTAGAAGTGGATGAGGAAGTCTGGTTACCATAAACCACCATAAATTCTGAAGATTCGTCTGACGTTGAAGGAACACTGTAGAAAATGAATTGAAATGCACACTGAGACCAATATTATATTCAAGATTTTATCCTGTGGGCCTTTTCCTGGGAGTGACCGGAAATGCAACTAACCGGAAGAAAGATCTCAACAGCTTCGTTTAGCTAAGGTTACTTATCGTTACCTTTTTCGTGAAATATCAGATTTCTCATTCTCTGTTTCTTCTTCAGTCCATGGAGCCGGTTCGGGTGAGAGAATGTGTGACACATCAACTTCCTGTACGTCACGCAATGTACCAATTGCAATCACGTTAGGATTAGCCTACAAAAGAACAAAGAACTGGTAAAATCGACCAAGTTTCCTATGACAAATATTAGCCCTGTTTGGCACTTTAAAATGTATGAGGGATCGCTCTGTTTCTCGCGTACCTCGAAAAACCAACAATGTGAATTACCTGGTTAATACAGAATGAATTGATCCCCTCAGTGTCTTTATGAACCACTCGTACGTCTTTCCCCACACCACTGTCTGTTTGATCAACCTAAACAGGGTAAAAAAATCAGCATTGAAAATTAGACAAGGAAAAAAATGGATATTTAATTTTACATTCTTATATCGAAAGTACACGTTGCGTTTGAGGAAAAAAAAGAACAAAAACTAATGAAACAAACGTCAATGTAACGGAAGCCATGTCAGTGTTACGGAAGTCGCGTCAATTATGCGGAAGCCATGTCAGTGTTACGGAAGTCGCGTCAATGTTACGGAAGCCATGTCA